TCGTCTTTCATTGCTGTATTTCTTTCTTTTTTGGATCTGACACCTATAGCTTAGCGCAATAGTTTTATGGTTTAATTTAAAACTATCACAAATAGACACAGTTTGACTTTACGGCTTTCAAACGATGAGAACTTGTTACAACATCTTTTAAGAGTTGTTATAGTTTTAAATCCACTTTTCACTATCCGTGTGAGCTCTAACTTCACTACAATATTTATTTTGAGTGATAATACAGTTGTGATTAGATTATTAAATTAATAGATGTATTATATTTAATAAACTCAAAAGTCCACTATTGAACACGAGTCTACAAAAGGTAATCATAATGTAAAATGGCTTAATTTAATCATTAAATACTTCAGTCTAATTAAAATATTAGCAAAAATAGCACTTACTTAATTTTAAAACGGTGCGGACAATCATTATCCATTAAAGTAACGCTACACATAGTTACAAAAACAAAAACAAAGAAATGTTACTAAACTAACGCCGCTAAAGCAGTAATGGGAACGGAGAATTGTGTTACATAGACTTTATACTGCATTTTACTTATAAAATAACTTGTTTATTATATAAGTAGAAACATGTTACTGATAATACAGTTTACGACATAATGGGAGTATATAATTTTACAATGACTGTATACGTTTGAGAATCAATCAGTGACAAGTAAATGAGTATTAGCTAATAAGGGATGCAAGTAGTTATATCAAAGTGAACGTAAATGGACACGCTCGGGTGCGTTGATCGAGATACCCCGTGGTATGGCGGTACCGGGGCGGCGCGTACGCAAGCACTTACTTAAAAAAATTAGCACACAACGGAAACACCGCCTCTGACAACATGACTGTTATTAACTTAAAGTACCTTTTATAAAACACTCAGTGCTTTGATGCTGGTGATAAACTATTGCCTAGCTTTGGAGGTAATGGTCTATATACTAAACGTAGATATTACATCGAGACCGTAGTACAATGAGACAAGTAATGCAAAGAGCAAAGAGCGTAGGGTTATCACATTATTTATTAGTTTAGTTGTACGTACTGGTTGCAAAAGTAATTTGAAAAATATTAAGGTATTCATCACAGTTTTTTATTGTGCTATACTGAAATAATTTTTGTTAAATGCAGTAATTAGAATATTAATCTATTCTAATTACTGCGTTAAATGCAGTAATTAGAAAATTAATCTATTCTAATTACTGCATTTAAATTCATTATCACAATGCCACAACGCAGAAATATACAGAAAGAAATATAAAAAAGCATAAGTAAAACAAAAAATAAATAAAAAAAAACAACGAAGCAAACACGTTAAATTTTAAAAGGTCAACTTAATTTAAATAAATGTCATGTGTGCGGCTGTGGCGTATCTAAAAGGACCCACTCAGCTAATATCTCACCCAAGTAAAGACTGTAACTCTGATTTTCAGTGGACCCTAAAACCGAGTAACCCAACGCGTGTGTAGCGCTTGTAAAATAAAATAAACTACGTGAATATTTCTATATTGGTACGTTCTGATTTTTATAGTGTGTGCTCTTGTATAGAATACTTACACATAAAATACGTATACTGATATTTTATACTATCTATCTCTCTCAGGCATCTCAATTTGGAGTATGATAATAAAATAGAAATGTAACGTTGAATAATTCTGAAATTGAAGCATTCTTGCCAAATAATAAAAAATACATCAACTATTTGATGTCATTTTTTAATAGGGAGGTTATGCGAATGTGAGCATCCGTGCAAGCATATACATACAAGCCGCGCTGCTACGTTTGTTACACTAGGTACTTGCCTTATTATATGTTGAGAACATGTAGATACTAAGAATAAAGTCGACAGACCGCGAAAGATCGTAAGAACTGAACCGCTGTAAACTGAACATATTTAAGGTTAAAACCTGGATCAAAAGATATCAAAAGTGTCTAGGGACCAAGCAAGTTTCTGCCAATCTGAAAATCAGCCGTTGTCAGTAATTTTTTTAACATCGACGAATCTTTTTTTGGTCAATTTTATACACTTTTTATAAGTGTACTCGTATATAACAGTGAGGACCTCAGTGATCGAGTGGTTTACACATCGGTTTTCATGATGTCGCCATATCTGAGGTCCCCGGCCGGGTCAATGTAGAAAACACGACATTTCTATATTGTCTCGGTTCTGGATGTTTGTGCTATCGTCGTTGTTTCCGATTTCCATAACACAAGTGCTTTAGTTACTTGCTTAGGGATCGGAGCAACGTATGTTATGTTGTCTAATATTTATTTATTTATTAGTGATCTTCCAGGTGAACATGTAACACACTTGTTCACAACTTCACTTACACTGACGAAATCGATAGCCCAACGGTGTGCTATACGGGCATTGGATTTCAGAGGCCCCGGATTCTATTCTCGATAGGACTAAATTGGGAAAGGAACTTTTCTAAATTTATTCTGATCTAGGTGTTCTGGATAGCGCCCCGGAGTGATTTCCGTTACTCTGATACTCATAGTACAGAGACTTCCTAGTTTGAGATCAGGTAATTAGTATGGTGATCTAGTACATTACAGGACATCAGCCCATCACTAATATTTAAAAACAAATATGTTAAATTGGAGGTTTTGTTTTGAAAGTTTCGCGGTGTTGTTCAAACTGATTTAATTTAAATAGGTGCTCTATATCCAAAATGTTACTAAAAAATTTAATGATGTCCTATAATAGTGTCATACAATCTGTTTTAGGTCACTTTTTCCATTTTTGTATATTATTTACCTACAAAGAAATTGATTCAAGGCATGGCGATATTATGAAACCAGGTCGTGTCGTTTATGGTTTGTCGATAGAACCGCAGAAGACAAATTAGATATTTCATAATTTTTAGTAAATGTACAATTTATATACAAAAAGAGTTAAAACTTTATGAAATCTAGAAGGGTCTGAAGATCATTATGAAATCTGGAACTGTTTTAATATCTACGCAATATTAAAAAAAATATTAGGCCTAAAACACCTCCTTGTGGGACTCTAAATAAACAGAGTGTTTTTTAAAATGGGGAAATCAGAAAGCATAAAAGATACAAGGATACTGTCTTAGGAACTATTAAGTCTGTTTTTGTGAACAGTTTTGACATAATTAATTTTTTGGTCAAGCATGAGTAGTCCTTAAAAATGAATATAATTGATCAAAATTTGTTTTAGTGCTGATCGACACAAATTCATGTAAGGATCATTTCAAAGTATGGGATGAAAAAAATCGGGACAGCTAAAGTTGGTCGAATTTCATAAAATGTTTTCATATAAAATTAATAAAATGATTGATTTTTTTTAATACTCAGTTATAAGGACGACTTCATTGTATCGAAACAAAAAAACTTGGGACAGAAGACGTCGGTCAAATTACAAAATATATATAAGTGACATAAGTGGCTCTATCCCTCAGATCTTTTGCGATTTAAAGCTCTGTGGGGCACTACAACTGTTATTGACAGGTGTGTAGCTTACCACCAGGCGCACGATTTGTTCGTCCCGTCTCATAGATGTTATAAAAAAAATATATTACACAAATAAATAGACAATACTCGTATTATACTGAAGGGTATAAACAATTAGAAATGTAAGAAATACGTTTGATTCTTCGACATAATAATAACAACAAGTAAGTCATGTATTGATTTAAACGCAAAAGCAAGACCCAAAGACTGAATCACGAGGTGCAAAGCGCCACGGTCGGTCGGCGAAGCGTTACAGAATAGATCCCATAATGGCCACGTACAAGATCTTACATTGTGCTCGCCTCTCTAGACTATTCCAAATGAATATAAGGCTAATTTTATTTACTATTTATTTACTTTCGTATCTCATTATCCACTTTCGATTAGAAAACAGCAGGCTTTTTGCGGACTTTAAGTGGAATTTGCGACGTACAAGAATCATAGAGATCTTTGTAACTGCAGTGTTAAACTAGAAGATTTTAGAACAATTACCTTGATTTCATAAAAAATGACGCCTCCTGTTTCTATCGTGGTCCCTGATATTTTACGAAAAGTAGACTGCAATACATAATAAATACTCAATAGGTACTGAAAAATGGAACAACATGCAATACCTCAAATCGTTTTACATTAATACTAATCTAGTATGACTATACATTAACTTTAAAGCTGCGTACATAGATACCCGGATTACTTTTATTATCAATCAGACCAGGGTGAGTTTTATCACTATTATAATTAATATTTAATAAGTTGTAGATAGGTATTATGTACTATGTATAATCGAACTTTTTAATTCCTTACAAAATAGAGTCTTATTTAAAGGACATTATTTTAGATTACATTAATCTTATACAGGTGAATTAACAAGATATGTCTTCAACAGGAAATAATTATTTAGAGTAATAAAATCAATAAGTTTTAATTTCATTAATACTCAGTCATTCAGTCGAAACATGTTTGTAAGAATTTGTTCGCAATCTTTTTGAAAGATTTTGCTCTCGTCTAAAGGTATTCCGTATGTCACGCAGGTCTTGTGTAATAATGATAGAAAGTAACGCTCGGGCCACATTATTTATTGTAAAAGATATACTAGCACGGAAAAGGTGAAGTAAAAGAAAGAAAAGTGTGACAAAAAGGTGGGATGACGATGAAAGAGGTTGCATCGTCACACGTAGACGTGTCCAGTAGGGCTAGCACGATAGGGCGCGACTTGAGCGAGAGCGACATAAAGCGCGACATACCGCTATCCTTGCATAGAGATCTCGCACTGTATGTCGCTCTCGCGCAAGTCACGTCCCGTCGTGCTAGCCCTACAGTATTAGTATGCTTGTGGATTATCGCAGTAGGTACCGGATAGCAAAAAAGAAGAATTTTAGAAGCGAGAGAAGCTCCGGTGTTGATGCTATCAGTTTCGTTACTATATTTTAATATTGTGCTGCGATTGCGCATTTTATAATTAATAGCAATTGTAATTCTTTACCAACTCACATTACATGTGAAACGAAACAATTAACTTACTGTGTCAGTTGGCAAATTTCATCCGGCAGTTCAGCGATCCTATTATCGCTAATGTCAAGATGCGTGAGTGCATGCAGCGTCCACGCCTGAAGTGGCAGCGAGCACAGCCCGTTTCCACGCAAGCGTAGCACGCGCACCGTGAACGCGCTGGCCGCTTGTTGCGCCAGCGCAGCTCCCAGGGATGCCCGTCCTCCGCCACAGCTGAGATCCAATACATTTGGAGGCTGCACGCTTTCCGTAGCCTAGAAAAAAAACGTAAAAACATTATCTCTACAAATTTCATGGAACGTAATTTAAAGCAGATCATGGATATAACCTAACCCAGGAATTAGGTATAAAGCCAGACAAAACTTTATAAAATCGTATCCTTGGTATAACAAATCCACTTGGGATTATGTGATCAAAAGTACTTATGTCACAGGAAAGTCATAAAAATAATAGGAAATACATGAAACTAGGGCGTGAGCTGAGGTGAGTGAGGACATGAAACAAATTTTTCATCACACTTGCTTGTAAACAGTGTCATGATATGCAGGCAAAATCGGCCGTAACGTCCTAAATTATGCCCAAGGGATTTTTCCATTACATTAGCGTCCTAGGGCGGTAATAGATTTTCCATTTTATTTCCACTGTACTTTTCTTATATAAAAGTCTTTATGCTCAAAAAATCTGAATGTGTTTCGCATAAGTTTCAAGTATAGAAAAAAACTAAACATTTGGATTTTAACTATACTAAATCTACATATTTTGTGAATTCAAATTGTGCAGTATTTTTAGAATTGGAAATTATTTATTTTATATCTAATACATCGTGGCTGCATGCGTCTGTGCGTTTTATAACATTATAGTCGAATTGTATTATCTGTGAAAGAATAGCTGGCAATCTTATTCAAAAAAAAAACAACAAAATGCCCACCATTTGGAAAATCTGTAAAGATAATAAGAAAATAAGTAATATAAATTACTATAACTTAATATAAAATAATAAGAAAAACGAAAAAAAAAGCCAAGGTTGACGGCTTCGTCATGCGCACATGTCAGCCATTTTGTTGTCCTCTAAGTCTGAAGGTGGTCTACTTCGCTTATGTACGGAGCATTCTGGAGTATGCAAGCCCAGTGTGGTCACCTCCGTATGCAATCCACAAATCACGTATTGAACGCATCCAGAAGAAATTTATAAAACACCTGAACTACAAGTGCAAGCATTCTCCTAATGACTACATCGAGGATTGCCGCGTGCACCGTATCCTCACACTAGAAGAGCGCCGCGATCTGTTAGACATGGGCCTTTTATACGATGTCATGCGAGGGCGTCTGAATTGCCCTGAGTTGCTGGGGCTTATTTCACTGAGTGCACCTTCGCGTCGAACCAGACACACTCCACTATTTAGTGTCCCCTTCCAATCCACAAATTATGGTCAAAATGCTGTTCTCACTCGAATCCTTCGAACTTATAATACCAAATTTGCTGCTGTGGATCCTTTTATAGGATCTAAGCATTGCTTCATAAGCAATATCAAACAAAAAATTATTGACTAACAGTACACACACCTCTACTTTACACAAAGTATATTTATTATTATTTATTTATATGAATTAATAAATTATGTATGCTATAATTACACATTCATTTTTATTCCTTTAAATTCTTATTTATATTATACGTATTGTGTTGTTTATTATACTGTACAAAAGGATATTATATTATATTGTATGTATGTCACTTCGTATGTATATTATATTACATATATATAAATATATATTATATTATATTTCCCATACATCATGTTTTCCTTCTCAGAATTCATTTCAGTGCAGTCCTTAATATTATTTTTTAATTGTTTACAGTAGGTGGTTAAGTTGCTATAATTATAAATACAATCAAGAATTGTAACAAGGGTTGGCAGTCATTGGCCTTATTTAAATTGTACCTAATTTAAGCTTATTTTATAATCTGTTGGCTGTTGCTACCCCAAATAAAATAAAATAAAAATAAAATAAAATAAAGATTGATTTATGTATAGTTAACTGTCAGTGTTGTAAAACCTCTCTCATGAAAAGAAGTTATTTTATAGATGTGGCCATTTATACCAAGGATGCAAACTTCATTTTGCTTCGCTATAGTTGAACAGAAATCGAAGACATTGAACAGAATGAAGACTCACAGGGAATATTCAGCACTTTTAAATGGTTTTTTTACCCTAAAGTTGTGGAGCTAATATTGATTTTTGACTTATTATTTATTATTATTATCATATCGATGGCATACACTATAAAGCTTGCCATCGTGGTGAAAGGATTTGCCAGTCGTACCCAGTGTACGCCAGATGTACAGAAAAGTACTGGTACGTCGCGTCGTGCGGGGAGGCTCCTTTCGTGCACCCACCTTTGACTGAACGTTCGTATCGTGAGTAGATCAAAATTAGTCTGTGTACAAAACTATAAAAAAATTTACAATATTATGTGATCATTTACTTCTTGAAACCAGATGAATAATCTAATAATAAAGAGTTATCACCGTTCAGAAAGATCTATTTATTTTATTTTTGTACGTCTTGATACAACTTCGGGGCAGTGCTTCAAGCTTCAACATCCAGTGTCTAGAAAGGGCTCAAACCATGATAATCTTTCGAACTATTAGCAATGTGCCCTGGTACATCATTAACACAGAAATCCAGGAACACTTGAAAGTAACCACAGTCAAGGAAGAGATTGCCAACTCAATACAAAGATACCGGGAAAGGCTGGAGAGGCACTGTAATGCACTGGCATCACAGCTTGTGACTCGAAGCTATATCATACGACTGAGAAGGAAAGATATCCTGTAGAGAGGGAAATTCCAGGAGATGTCCTTGCTGAAGTACTCACTTTACACGCCATTGAATCTAGAAGACATTTGCCTTATAGTGGAAAGCACTGATTGTAAATTAAACACACAAAAAAATGTACAAAATTAAAATCTGTTGAATTATTAAAAGTCATGGAACAAAAGTTGTTGCTTAGTATGTTGTGAGGTTAATAATATTTGACAAATAACAAATGCCTTCGTATTTATTACCTATTACAAGAGAAAGTCAAGACGACGGTGTATTGAAAAAAAAAAGGAACACTTATGTATGATATTTATCGAACCAGTTCCAACATGCGCAAAATAGATGGTTTTATCTTGGCCTGCACTTTAAAGTCTAAACAAGTATCTCGGATACGATAAAACTAACTTTCCTGGTGTCATAAATTGTCGCGAAGTTAAATAAGTATCTGTATGATATTGTATGATAGAGACGACGTTTTAATTAAAAAAATAAGTAAGTAAGAAGTTTCTTTGAAAAAGTTTTTCCTATTTTAATACTGGTAGACTGAATAAAAAAATTAAATATTGCATAGGTACTTCTAAATTTGAATTGAAAAATAAATTATTTTAATACTTGAATATATTAAATTATATCGACATGTAAAATTTAATTATAGAGATAGTTGTGGAAATCGTAAATTAAGTCAATCAGGATCTTACACACACACTCACATATAAACATCTAGTCATACGGTGAGTGCTCTGAAGAGTTATTCAACCTTATCCCTTCCTCTCCTTTCCATCAGCGGACCACCCGTGCCGGACTGCGTTGCCACAGTTGGACGGTCAGTTCAATACCGTCCCGCACTAAAAAGTTTGGCAATTCGTTCTTATGCCGAACCATCAAATTGTGGAACCAACTCCCGGCGCATGTATTCCCTCCCCTCTATAACATCGGGTCCTTCAAACGTAGTGTGAAGAAGCATTTGGCCAGACCGGCAAAATGATAGTGACGGAGTGAAGATATTTGTGTTTTCCATCCGTTACTCTCATCTCTGGACTGTATTCGCACTTTCCATCAGGCGCGGTGCAGTCATTTTGCCGAGTCACAATAAAAAAAAAAAAAAAAAAAATACACACCTACACAAAAAGACAATTACAAATGTTTTATACACTCATTCTTTGTAGCTTCTATATAATATGGTTAAAAATGTCTATATTAATGTCTATAACATCTCTGTCAAATTTAGTGTAAATTCACTGATATATAGATATACGAGTTCGGGAGACTGGAAGCCTAAGACACAGATCTCTGTTTAGATTTCAGTTTTTTATAGATTTTATCACTTTAATAAATCGCACCTTCAAAATGAAAGTGACCTAATTCAAAAACTTAAGAAAATGAGTTTATACCGTAAAACGACTTTCAAAATCGTTGCTCATAAGGTTATTAATTTCTTTTAATATGTTTCAAACCTTTTTTTGCATCTACAAAGACAGCACGCCACCACTGTTGGGGAAAAGTACCGGATTAGCAATTGGACCGTTTTTCTTCTGAATATCCTGATTAAATTTATACAAAGGCAACTTATTTTATTGCTTAGAGGACTTTCTTTCACAAATAAAACAGCTTCATCTTAATAAGCTCATAACATATTGCTTTACTGGCGAAAATGAAAGAGACTTAATTTATGTTAGAACAAATGTCAACAAAAAAATCCAGTAAAAAAAGTGACCCTAAAGCGAATAGTTTTTGTAAATTATAGTTTTAAATTGGTAAACATTGAAATAATCTGGAACAATTTTTGAACTTAAAGTTAAAACTGATTTTTTTCATTATTTTCCAGGATTATATCTTTCCAGGATATATATATATAAATTAAATAATGTGGACCTTTCACAATATCAAATCTTATGTTGCGTATTCCCAAATAGTTGGAATTTTGTATTGGGTCACTTTAATTCTAAAAGTGCGAAATAAGTTCTGTTATTGTGACAAAATAATTGTGGAGAGTAATAAATTTATTATTTATTATTATTATAAGGCACCATCGGCACATTTACGTAAATTTCATACTCACTTATATTGTAATAACGATATAATGAAAATTTGAATGCTTGCCAATCTCGCCGTGACGGTTGATTGCATTTACTTGTGAATTATACAATAGTCTCGCAATAATGTAACCGATTGTACCAGTTTCTAAGCAAGACTGCGCCAACCTCAACGGGATCCTTATATAAATTCTTGCCTATTTATTACTTATTTAAAAAAGAAGGCAAAATCGACCGCAATAGACTAAGAACCCTTAAATCCGCGTTTCCAAAGTTACGGTGAAAATATTGTTTCATTAAAATCTATGTTTCAGACAATCACACCAATTTCCGGGTGTTTTAGGGAAAATCGTAGGGTTACTTAATTGTTATTCTAGAAAACCAACAAGAACCTGT